AAAAAAAAAAAGAAAAAAATAGTTTTTTAATAGTATCATATTTAGGTGTTTTTGGACTGGTTTTGGACCCAGCTACCATTAGACTATCATCGCTTTTGGCGATAAAGAACTGGTACTGAACTATTAGAAATGTGGTTCACCAGTTTGGAGTTTCCCTGCAGGTTATATATGTACATACATACACATACATATGTGTGTCGGTGTAAATACTATATGTATTTGTTTATATTAACGAACGAACTCACATTAGCCAAATCCTGGGTGGGTGTATTTGCCATTATGTTATTATTAGCGTGTCGTGCCGCCGCCCCGCCTATGCCATTTACTATGGCGCCATTTCCGCGTCTCAATGTATTTCCGCCATTCAATAACATGCCTCTATTTGTTGTTGTAGTTGTTGATGCCACCACCACACTGAGTGGTTGCAATGGTGGCTGATGTATGGGTGGCGGCGTAGCTGCATCGATCTCATTTATAGTTAATATTTCACTATTTATTTGTTGTTGGGGTTGTTGTTGTTGTTGTTGTTGTAGCGACAATTCATTTCGTTGTAGATTCAAGGCCGCATCTAAGTTGTCAACACCTAAAAGAGTATCACGTTGCGATTGTAAGTGTTCGACCCAGGCTTCGGCGGTGGCCATACGCGGTCCCGGACAAGTCGCCTCCAGTTTGCTGATCCGTTCGTCCAGATGTACAAATTCCTCGACAACCGCGACGGGATCCTATGGAGGAGAAAATATGGAAAAGGGGGGGGGGGTCACTTTTACTCGACCACTCGGTATCGGTATTCGTACCATATCGCCTTGCTGCCAACGTTCCAAGCTCTGTATGGGCTCTTCTAAAACGCTATTCGTATCCATCGATGAACCACATCCCATCATACGAGTAGAAATTTTATGGATAAACGCATATTTGTAGTTAACGCGTAATTAGGCACTGCTTATGGAATTCAACGATCAATGGCAAAGATAAAAGTGTGGAGCTGCGCACAAAAATGTATGGTTTATTGGAAATCCAAGCACTTTTTA